ACCCCTTCTCCTATCACTACAGGCCCTGCTATAGTGTGTTCTCTTGTATTTCTAGCCAGATGACACTCAGTTATACCTATAAACGGGTTATTTCTTCCCCTTTCTCTGTTTTCTACTTACCATCTAATAATCCAGCAGCAGTTCTCAGTGGGTTAAACTCTCAAAGTTCAAAATATTTCTAAAATGTGATTGCAAACAAAAAAGCCCAGGAATAGGCCAAAACCAATTAACTGAAATCTACCTGAAATAAATGAACTTTTTTGGCTGCATCCCAAGTCCATGGAAATCTACACGAAGAATACCACTCAAAGTTTTAGGCCAAGTGATATATCACACCTCATGAAAGTTGCAAGAGTGGGCCTCTGGTGATCTGCTATGGTCTACCAAAGGGAGTGTCAATGGAGAAAGTCCCAATTACTTTCACAGCTATCTTTAATGATAATGCAGCTTAATAGGGGAAATTGTGAGAAAAAAAAGGAAAGTCCAGGATGAGGGTATTTCTGTATTTGTTTGTGTGAAGTAATCTAGATTTTGAATTCAGAAGCTTGACTTATTCTGAATTGATAGGAAATTTGTTTCTCCATTAGTAGCGTTTTGTTTTGTCTCAGTTAATGGGAAACACAATATGTTTCCTGCTTTTCTGTTCTGGTAAGCCAGCAGAATCTTTCAGATACCATAACTCCTATAAAACTGTTTGTACAAGCCCAAGAACTTCCCACACTGCTAGTACCATGCTCTTCCTCAATTTTAGTTTTAAGATAGTGTGGTATTTTTGATCCTATGTCTACTTCTCCAGAGACATTTAATAACATCTCTTCCATCTGAGAAGGCCGTTGTAATGATTAAAAGTCTTCAAGTCTCTTCATTCTCTGCTTTGTAGCACAAATAAATCCTTCGTATCAACATATTTAATCACCTGTGTTTTTTGCTTGAAACCTTCTTACTAATTACAAATAACATGTTAGATTTCTTTGACCAAAGAGGTACTCTCACCAATAAGTGTCTTACTGAAATGCTACTCCCAATTCACATCTTCTTCAGTAAAGCCTAGATTTAGCTCCGTACAGTAAGACTAGCTTTTTTACTGACAGTTTGGTTACTGGTGACAAAGTCGGTAGGTAAAACCATTCCTATTCTATCCACATCATGAGTTCTTGTTAAATATAACCAAGAACCTCAAGGTTTTTTGGTTGGTAGGTGACAACCAGTGACTTGTTTTGGCCATAGGTCCAGTCCTGGGCTTTCAGAAGTAGAGCTACCTGGAATTAGCTGTGCTGTCTCCTTACCATGGTTTTAGTTACATGACTTTGTGTTTTGTCCTGGTTGTTGTACTGAAAGAGCAAACAGCTGGCACACTTATTTCAGTGCCCAGGGCTCACAAGTACGATTCTGGATATTGTGCAATGGAAACTATTGAGGCAGCACCACTTTCAGTTTCTTTATTTATGCTTGATCTGCTTGCAAGAGGTAAAGGAAGTCCTGGTTGAAAGTCCAGTGCAGTAGGACAGATAAAGAACAGAACAGGCTTGAAATCACATGACTTTGGTTAGTCCACAAGTTGCCCAGAAGTGGTCTCCGTGACACAGAATCCCAAGCGGCTTCTCCAGCTTACAGAACGATGATTAGGAGCAAAGAACAGATGATAAGTAGCACTATCCTACCTGGAAGGCATTATCAAATGAATACCTAAATACATCTACGGCTCTGCTCACAGTTGTCAGGGCCCTTGAGGGCACTGATATGTCTTGATGGCCCTGAACAGCCTCACCTGGGGCCTCCACCCACACGCCCAGCCCTGCCCCTACTTAAACTTAGT